CTACGCTCACTACACACTGTCTACGATGTCTTCATGCATTATACCCTCTCTTCTACGATGTCTACGCTCATTACACACTTTTTACATATCATGTACACAATACCATACGCTCTCTATCTACGATATCACACTCTCTAACTTAGAAGCCTACGCGAAATTCACGCTCTATCTACGATGTATACACGTCCTTCATGCTCTACGATGTCTAGACTAACTTCACACTCTCTGTGTACGATGTCTACACATCCTTCACACTCTACGATGTACACATGTACTGTATACTATCTACGATGTACAAACGTACTTCACGCTCTCTACGATGTACACACGTACTATACATGCTCTTTCTACGATGTCGACCCGTATTTTACGCTCTCTATCTACGCTGTATACACGTACGAAACACTTCCTATCTACGATGTCTCCACATACAGCTTTATCTACGCGCGGTGGGTAGTGTGGTTATACAAGTATTCCCCACCCATCTTTTGGTCTACGATATTGCTGGAATATTGCTAAAAGCGGCGTAAAACTAAACTACATACAGTCTAAATTCTACACCATGGACTGCAGACTAACACGTACTCTACGTCATGATCACGTTCTGTTCGTGTACTATTCCCAGACGTACTTTGTTCTACTATCCACGTAAAGTCCTCGCTCAGTCCTCGAACTGAAATCTTTTTGTCCTCTTTCTGTCCCCGATCTGTTCCTTGACTGGACATATGACGTTGATGCTCCGTGCATGTGATGTTCGCGTTCTGTTAACATGCTGTTCGCGTTCTGTTAACATGCTGTTCACATATTGTCCATGTTTTACTTAGACTGTCCACATACTGCTCAACATCTGTTCACGAACCCTTCTGGTTCTGTTAATGTTAAGCTCGCGTTCTGTTCACTTACTGTTCACGTTTTGTTTATGCTTTGTCCACATACAGTCCACGTTCGTCCTCCCATTGTCCATACGAAAAAGCCATGCTGCCCGCGTTGTATACTACCTACGTACTACCCCCGTCTTATCCAAACACTATCATCCACATATCGTTCACGTACGCCCAATTGCTTCTTCGCACGAACTAACCGAGTTGAAATATTCTCCTCTTCTTATAAAGTAACACCACTTATGCCAACTGACGCTCCAGGATGATCGGATGGATAGCACAGAGAACAACGTTCACTTTCCAGAGAGAAAATGCGTTTTCTTAAGACTAATGTGTTATTCCACGGAAGTCATTCCGTATAATGGCTTATCCATCTCGAGGATGAAGATGTACCACCAAGGTGAGATTCAAGTATATTCGTGGGTTACTCCACTTTGTTGTGTGGGTGGAGGATGAAGAGGACGTGTGATGGAGGCAAGTAGAGTTGGCACTGATTGAGTACAGGTGTTTGGAAATCGAGATAACAACTGGAGAATTTGTGTGAGCTTCCATGTGTTGTCACTATTACTTCATGAAAACCGCGTTGATTTCTGACATATGTTATGTGAAACGTTCAAGTGACAGGGACTGAATGATATAACACGACCCTATGTCATCAGCTTCATTTCATTCTTCTTATTCCTTAACACTGTTAGCATTCTTTAATATTGTTAGCATTCCTTAACATTGTCAGCATTCTTTAATATTGTTAGCATTCCTTAATGTTGTCAGCATTCCTTAACATTGTCAGCATTCCTTAACATTGTTAGCATTCCTTCATAGGGCTAGCATTCTTTAACATTGTCAGCATTCCTTAACATTGTTAGCATTCCTCCATAGGGCTAGCATTCCTTAACATTGTCAGCATTCCTTAACATTGTTAGCATTCTTTAATATTGTCAGCATTCCTTAACATTGTTAGCATTCCTTCATAGGGCTAGCATTCCTTAACATTATTAGGATTCCATCATATGGTAAGCATTCTTTGGCCATGTTAGCATTCTTTGTCCATGTTAGCATCCCTTCATATGGTTTGCATTCCTTATCATTGTTAACATAATTTCTTGACGTTGTTAACATTCTTTAACGTGGTTATCATTCTTCAACATTGCTAGCTTTCATAAATATGGTTAGCACCCCTTGATATTGTTAGCATTCCTTCATACGGCTAACATTCCTTAACATTGTTGGCATTCCTTTGTATGGTTACCATTCCTTGACATTGTTAACGTGCTTTGTGTTACGTTATAAAGTGCTTGATGTTGTTAGCAATTGGTGCGACAGCATTCTTTGATATTGTTAGCAATCGGTGCGACAACATTCTTTGATAATGTTAGCAATCAGTGATAGTGTTATTATTGTGTTAACATTCCATAGTAAAGTTTATAACCCGTAATACATTTAATGGCCTTCTTAGCATTCCATAATTGTTTCATCCTGTTGGCTAACTGAAGTATTGTATCAACTATACTATCAGCATCCCGTGATTTTGTTAGCCTCCTATCATAGGATAACTGCTATCTTGTTTGCTATCTTTCCCCGCCTTATCTGCTTACTCCGCCTTTGATTAGCAACTTGATTTCGCTCCAAACAGGACATGTTCTCCAACATCACGGGGGAAATTGTGATACTGTCTCCGATTGAGAGCACAGACCCGACTTAACCACAGCAATTTACTGTACATAGTTGCGTTCCGTAGGGGGTTCGAGTATTGGGTTCAAATCCCGGATTCGCCCTTTCAATGCTCCATGTACAACGCCTAAATGAGAAAACAACGCCGCACGCATGGCTAAAATGACAAAACACAAGGGCAAAAATTGTGAATGTCCGAAGAAGCGGAAAACCAACGAATACATATATTGTCAACACATGATGGTAAAACACCAACAAATGTGTATATTATAAATGCCCGGATCCAGATATTGCTCATGCAAAACTGGAAAACATCAACGGATGTCGTAAGTGTTAATGTCCCAATGAAAAAAGCCCGAATCGGTATATTCTTAATGTCCCAAACGGTTCCAGATATTGTTTATGAAAAACGGAAAACCATCAACGGATGTCGTAAGTGTTAATGTCCCAATTAAAAAAAGCCCGAATGGGTATATAATCAATGTCCCAAACAACAACAATATAGTGTAAATATTCTAGTGATAAGAAACAAATGCATATAGTATTATGATATCCCACTAAGAAAACACCAACGAATGCATATAGAATTAACATCCCAGTGGGAAACACCAACGAATGCATGTAGTCCTAACGCCCTACTAAGAATACATCAACGAATGCATATAATCTTTACGTCCCAATAAGAAACACCACCGAATGCATATAGTATTGATGTCCCGCTAAGAAAATACCAACGAATTCATGTAAAATCAATTATAAAGTCCAAATGAGAAACACCAACGAATGCATATAGTCCTAACGCCCCTATAAGAAACACCAACGAATGCATATAGTCCCAACGCCCCTATAAGAAACATCAAGGAATGCATATAGTCCTAACGCCTCTATAAGAAACATCAAGGAATGCATATAGTCCCAACGCCTCTATAAGAAACATCAAGGAATGCATATAGTCCTAACGCCCCTATAAGAAACACCAAGGAATGCATATCGTCCTAACGCCCCTATAAGAAACATCAAGGAATGCATATAGTCCTAACGCCCCTATGAGAAACACCAAAGATTGCATATAATCTTTACGTCCCAATAAGAAACACCACCGAATGCATATAGTACTGATGTCCCACTAAGAAAACACCAACGAATGCATGTAAAAACAATAATAACGTCTCAATGAGAAACACCAAAGAATGCATATAGCCCTAACGCCCCTATAAGAAACACCAAGGAATGCATATAGTCCCAACGCCCCTATAAGAAACACCAAGGAATGCATATAGTCCTAACGCCCCTATAAGAAACATCCAAATGCATATAGTCCTAATGCATATAGAAAACCCTATAAGAAACATCAAAGAATGCATATAGTCCTAACGCCCTATAAATGCATATAGTCATTCCAAGATCAACGAATGCATATAATCTTCTACGTCCCAAGAAGAAACACCACCGAATGCATATAATATTGATGTCCCACTAAGAAAACACCAACGAATGCATGTAAAATCAATAATAACGTCCCAATGAGAAACGCCAACGAATGCATATAGTCCTAACGCCCCTATAAGAAACACAAACAAATGCATATAGTCCTAACGCCCGTATAAGAAACACCAACGAATGCATATAGTCCTAACGCCCCTATAAGAAACATCAAGGAATGCATATAGTCCCAACGCCCCTATAAGAAACATCAAGGAATGCATATAGTCCCAACGCCCCTATAAGAAACATCAAGGAATGCATATAGTCCCAACACCCCTATAAGAAACATCAAGGAATGCATATAGTCCCTAACGCCCCACTATAAGAATACATCAAGGAATGCATATAGTCCCAACGCCCCTATAAGAAACATCAAGGAATGCATATAGTCCTAACGTCCCACTTATAAGAAACATCAAACGAATGCATATCGTCCTAACGCCCCTATAAGAAACATCAAGGAATGCATATAGTCCTAACGCCCATATAAGAAACACCAAAGAATGCATATAGTCCCAACGCCCCTATAAGAAACATCAAGGAATGCATATAGTCCTAACGCCCCTATAAGAAACATCAAGGAATGCATATAGTCCTAACGCCCCTATGAGAAACACCAAAGAATGCATATAGTGCTATACGAATACAGAAAGCTTATTAACCGTATCATATTTACTGACAGGATGCTCTTTTATACACCCCTGCATATCTGTTCATGTTTACCTGAGTACCGAGGGCCACGTGTTTCTTCGGAAATCAGAAACACGCAGATCGAATTCAACATCAAAATGTGTAAATGATGTAAATTCTCATTATTGTTTCCCCTAACCAATCCACACAAGTGAATACCCCATCCCATCCCTTCGCAAGTTTACTTACCATGATTGGTTCCTTAAGGAAATGGAACCGTTAGCCGGACCCAGACTTTCGCAATCATATCCCAGCTGTAAATGACCGTTATGATACTGAAGGAAAGAGTATATTTACAGTCTTAACCGCTAAGTACCTTTCTTAGACAAAACAACACTAAAAAGCCGCACCAATGCTCGTTTCACCTTTGCTATGGAGTGAGATAAGCCGGTGCTACACTACACCTAAAGACATCTGTGTTAGCCTGCTCGGTATGTCCCATGTTGAAGGATCAATAACCAGTTGCAACACGGTCCTCTCTCTAGTAGTACAGCTAGTCGCTCCGGTCCAGCCTCCCTTGATCACACAAGCCCAACGTTGCCGCCGAAGAAACGCGAGGGTTCCTGGAATCGTGTATAATCTCTGTTGTTGAGGAGAGAACACTGTCTGGAAGTTAGGCTTATGAACTATGTTCCTTCTTGATGGAGGATATTACGTTACACTTCACCCTTCGACGGAAAGTAGGAATTACCTTGAAGTTCTCCAAGGTGTTTCCGTAGATGTTCGATTTGATGGTTTCAGGAAGCAGAAAAAGCGCCAAGCCTTATCAAATTTTATAACAGATTGTAAAAACACCGACCAACGTTAGATCCAGAATCTAAGGATTTAGTCACCAGGAACTAATGTGAGAATTCCCTGCTGATTTTCCCTTCAGGAATTGGAGAATTGAAGCGAGCGTAAAGGTGCAGACGCTTTAAACCTGCAGAGCAGCGAAACAAAATGTTTTGTTTTGGGATTAGGTGGTCAAATTATTCTCTTGGGCATACCAACTGAGAGGAATTCTGTAGCGTCTATATATTTGTGAAATGTATTGCTGTTGTAAGTGTGGATGACACGTGGAGGCTTCTAATGCTCCACCCACCCGAGTATGTAACAACCCACGGTCACGATAAGAGTATATGTTTGCTGATCATTCCGTCACGTCTGTCGCTTATTTTCAGATCGATTTTGAAGTCTGAGGTCTCCTCTTTGGATGAAGCAATTTCAGGGATATCGTTCATGCACAACTGTCTGATTAAGCGGCTGTAGTTGCAAGGATTAGTGCTTCTGTGCCCCGTGGATTAGTGCTGGATTAGTACTATGCTCGACTACTGAGCTATCGTGGGAATGATCCACTGGAATCGGTCTTTATCGTGTGTTTGTGTGACAATACGAAGCGATAATGCCGCGATATGGAAAGAGGAAGGACAGTGCTATAAGGGTAGGTACCACTCTGATATTAATGATTATGATCATAATAATATTCATCATTTTGTTCTGATGCTCATGTCAGTATATCTGAAGAAGATAACCGAGTAATCCAGGTCTGATAGACATTCAATCCGGTACAAAATATATGTTTGAATACATCAATGCCAACACAAAAGAATGGTGCTGCATCTCTCGCTATAAGACAGAACTGGAAGTCCTTCATAAAGAACCTTCACTTATCATTCCTGAATGTATGGGAGTTTTTCTAGTTTAATCAAATACTATATTTTTACACATGCGGGGACTTGGGGCAGCCTTCCAAGGCCAGTGGATGAGTATTGATCCACATTTCTTCTACAGTGCCGTGGAAATTCAAAATGAATGACTCTATTTGTTCCCGGTCCTTTGGTATTTACAAGCAATTGTTCGGCATTAACAAGTGTTACAGGTGATTAGGAACACCGGACTGTATTTGCATGCGCTTGTTTATACAAACATATATGGTCTTCTTGGATCAGAAGACAAACCTGAGATATCCGACTAGTTGTGTACTTTTAAGAACGGCATGATAATGTTGATATTCAACACAAGTGAACACGAAGGTTATTGTTCTAAGTGGGCGGTGGGGTAGCCTAATGGTTAAAGCGTTGGCTCGTCACGCCGAAGACCCGGGTTCGAATCCCCACATGGGCACAATGTGTGAAGCCCATTTCTGGTGTCCCCCGCCGTGATGTTGCTGGAATATTGCTAAAAGCGGCGTAAAAACAAACTCAGTCAGTCAGTATTGTTATTAGTTGCGAGGTGTTATAATCAAAATAATTCTATTTTCGTACATGATTGTTCCATACGAATGGTCAATACAGTGCAGAATCAGCATTTATCCCAATGCTTTGCATTATCTAAAAGAAATACGAACAATGAAACCAGGTTTGATCAAATGCAACTGGAAATCAATCGCCTGATTCCACATAGCTTGTCTTAGTGAGCAAGCTCTATATTGATAATAAATCAATACCGATGTTTTTCTCTCTGAAATGATGAACTCAGTGCACAAGCACCATTTCAGACGTGGATGGTGTTACGAAGTCTCAAACTCTGTTCTTGAAATATTAATACACAAATAATGTCACAGAAGCTTTATTCCTTGTCTAGTAAGCTGAGATCCACCATTAAAATTTCACAACCCCTTACCATCCATGCTGCCTCCATTACCATCCGCTGGATATTGATACTGAGTGGTGATACAAAAGACGGATTATCAAGTCTGTATCAATATTACATATTTTACGGGACGAAACCATTCCTAATTCCCTTGAAGTTGAATTATTTGTATACCATACACATATATTATCAATATGCCATGTATTTTGCATGTACGTCTACTTAGCATACATTCGTTTTTAATTCATTCAGATGCACCCTGACTATTCGGGTTAGAAATGGTCTTCAGCAATCTATCCTTGTTAGTAAAAGGTGACTAACGAGATCGGGCTTACTGACTTAATTAGGAAAGGTCATCCTATTCAAATTGCCTACTATCGATGCTCTTGATGTCAATCACTTGATTGTCAAGTTTAAACTAGGTAGTGTACAAGCTACCGCCATATAGCTGTTATATTCGCGTTGTTAACAACAGACAAACACTAAGATATGTGATTGCACATAAGTACAGCAGATGGTAACATATTTACTTTATGTTCCAATCCGTTTCTGAAAATGGTTCCTCTAATCGTAATTCAATAGATATAATAAGTATGATATGTATCTTAAAATTCCTGAAAATCCCGACAAAGCAATTATGAACGGTAATCGAAAATATGTATCAAATTCTTTAAGTCAGTGAACAGGATAATTAGATGTATCTGCTTTCGATAAAATGGGTTAATGCCTACTCAAGCAATATGATCACAGGCGGGAAAATTATTAAGAAATTCATATTTGCCCGGCGTTGGATCCTATACCAGTGCCATGTCTCAGTGTACGTGGGTTGAGAGGTGTCGGCGAGTCGGCAGTGAAGCGGTTCTCTGTATGGTAGCAATTTTTATTACAGACATATTGACATGATGAATGTGGTGATGGCGATTGAGCGAGCTGGTTCTATGTGATTACTAACTATCACGTTCCTATAGGCAAATAACCCTGTTTTGTAATGATTGATCTGTCGAGAGCTATATCACAGAACAGCGTCTTCATAATCAGCTGAGAGGACTTACCAGCTTGTATAAGGCATTCATCAGAGAGACTCTTGTGATGTGTGTGACGCATGTATTACTGAATTTGCGAATCTTGCGTAATATTATTTAGATTGTCAGAAGAGAATGTGTAACTTGGGTCAGGCTGACCCAAGACGATGACGTAGAAAGCCGTCGCTGCTGTCTCATCTAACGCTTTGCTTGAGTTGTCGCTCTCACTAGAGAAGAAAATGAGTCGTCTAGATCTGGAAGGCCATTGCGTCCGTGATGGCCAAATCACGTCAGAAGCCAGCGATTGTCAATGCGTCGTTGTGGGTCTGTGATGATGGTGTTCTTGATGTTGTTGTCTGAGTTAGGAACCGATTTAGAGAGCGAACAATCCAAGACATCTATGTAGATCTATTTATCCCGAATAGTATAAGCAATAGTTCTACACTGTAGAACAGGTAATCTCTAAAAGCGGTTAAGAAGGAGGGTTGTATTTCGAAAAATACTGTCAACAGCCCAACATTGCAATTTAGAAATAGACGCTAAATAATCTACCATTACCCCAATACTTTTGTCGACGGTCCATCATTCCAATGTTACAATAGACGCTAGATAATCTACCGTTGCCCCAATACTTTTGTCAACACTCCACCATTGCAATATTGAAATAAAGGCTAGATAACCTACTATTGCCTCCAATACTTTTGTCAACAATCCATCATTCCAATGTTACAATAGACGCTAGATAATCTACTGTTCTCCCCAATACTTTTGTCAACAGTCAAACATTGCAATGTTGAAATAGACGCTAGACAATCTACTGTTGCCTCCAACACTTTTGTCAACAGTCCATCATTCCAACATTGAAATAGACGTTACATAATCTACTGTTGCCTCCAATACTTTAGTCAACAGTCCATCATTCCAACATTGAAAAAGACGTTACATAATCTACTGTTGCCTCCAATTCTTTAGTCAACAGTCCATCATTCCAACATTGAAATAGACGCTAGATAACCTACTGTTGCCTCCAATACTTTTGTCAACAGTCAAACATTGCAATGTTGAAATAGACGCTAGACAATCTACTGTTGCCTCCAACACTTTTGTCAACAGTCCATCATTCCAACATTGAAATAGACGCTAGATAACCTACTGTTGCCTCCAATACTTTTGTCAACAGTCCAACATTGCAATGTTGAAATAGACGCTAGACAATCTACTGTTGCCTCCAACACTTTTGTCAACAGTCCATCATTCCAACACTGAAATAGACGCTAGATAACCTACTGTTGCCTCCAATACTTTTGTCAACAGTCCATCATTCCAATGTTTCAATAGACGCTAGATAATCTACTGTTCTCCCCAATAATTTTGTTAACAGTCCAACCTTCCAATGCTGAAAAAGACACAAATACCTTTGTCAACAGTCAAACATTCCAATGTAGAAATAGACGCTAGATAATCAACAATTGCACCTCAACCCCTGCCCCAATACTTTTGTCATCTGTCAAACATTGCAATGTTGAAATAGCCGCTACATAATCTACTGTTGCCCCCAATACTTTTGTCAACAGTCAAACATTACAACGTAGAAATAGACACAAGACAACCTATTGTTAGCACTAATACTTTTGTCAAAAGTCAAACATTGCAACGTAGAAATCAACAAAATAATCTATGGTTGCCCCAGCTTTCAAGCTTCATGTTCTTGACCTTCTATTATTTTTCAAAATAAAGAAAATCTAGGAACACGTTCATTAAGTTTAGCACCTGAACATGAACATGCCAGTCTTAGGGATAAAATATTTACGTAGGAAAATGTGTATGCCACTTTACTGGTACTATATTCCGGTGTTATAATGAAGAGTTTCATTCTTTCTTCTCACCTTTATGCTGGCAGTTTTCTTAATCCATGACAAACGTATGAATTATTCAAGAAATCAATGCTTCATACCCGATCAACACAACTTCGGATCCCTTATTACACATCGTGGTGTTATTACAAAAATCACAGTGCAGAATACAAAAAGCTTGAATAGAACTTGAATAAAGAAAACATAACCCACCTCGGGCTGACTACCTCTTGACAAGACAGGATATGAAAAAGTGCATTTTGGATAAAAACAAGACTATAAATAGATCGGCGTGACGTTAGGTGGCTATTCCTGTCCCCCGTGCGTCACTGACATCTCCAGGACACTATCAAAGAGATGCTCGGATCATTTAGATATGTCATATATAGCACACTGAACCTATGTCCGTTGTTTTAAAGCAAAAGGTCTTTTCGTGTCAAATCATTTATATCAGATAGATACAGTAATGGTACAATTAGTGTCTTTCTGTGGTGTGGACTGAAGATTGATGTGTTTAAGTGAACTTACTGTGACTCCTGTCTGACGATCTTCTGAAGCATTTGTCTAGCATACGATGATGTCCATGTGGTTAATTACTCTGGTTCTCAATAACATGAGTCCATGCACATGCGAGCCTTTCTGTGGGGTTAAGGAGGCAGACTTCTGGTCTCATCTATCATAGCATGGATTTGTCTGGTCGAATGTGGCCCAGCTGAAACAACTTTGCTGCAGTGCCATGCTCGTAGTAATTATAGCATAGGGAAACACATTACTCACAGGACATTGCAGTTCTTACTTTCAGAACAGCTAAACGCCATTTATTTTTATGACAGATAACATTACTCGTGATGATCCTGCATGGAACTGATCTTCAGCAACCCATGCTTGTCGACTAATGGGGTTGGGTGGTCAGACTCGCTGATTTAGTTGATGCATGCCATCGTATCCCATTTCCATTGATCGATGACCATGTT